TCAAGATCATAAACCCGCCAACCTTTAGTTCCTGAAGGGTATCCCACAAACATACACTTTAGACTACGAGGGTGGAATTTGTTTGGTGGACGTTGAATATTACGGACAAAACAGAGACACCCAAAACCCCGGAGGTGAGACAAGTCTGGAGGTTTTGAAGAAAGAATTTCGAAAGGAGATTTACCTTGTAATAGTGGAGTGGGTGTACGGTTAATGAGATAAACAGCGGTGCGAACACATTCCCCCCAAAACTCAAGAGGTAAAGAAGCCTGAAACATTAAAGAACGAGCAACATTAAGGATGTGACGATGTTTACGCTCAACCCGACCATTTTGCTGTGGTGTATTGACACAAGAAGTTTGAACAAGCACTCCCTTACTCGTGTAGAATTCACGAAGAGGCCGGTTGAGGAACTCAGTTCCATTATCAGAACGAACAACTTTTATGATTTTATGAAACTGAGTGTGTATGAGAGCAAAAAATTGTTTCAAGCAACTAGTAACCTCACTTTTCTCAACAAGTAGGAAAACCCAAACAGCTCTAGAAAAATCATCCACAATGGTAAGGAAATAATGTGACCCAGTAGAAATACAAGGGGAATATGGTCCCCATAAATCACAATGAATTAAATCAAACAATTGTTCAGCTTTATTAAGACTAGGAGAAAATTGGGAACGAGTCTGTTTGGAAAAGAAACAAATATCACAAGACTGAAAATTTTTAATTTCAGAATTACTCTTATTAAATGGAGGTAGAGACAAAACTTGAGGAGAAGGATGACCAAGACGTTGGTGCAATAAGGAAACAGACTCGGCTTTGGATGCTTGGGCATGAGAAGGAAAGACATAGACTCCGTTGCGTGCTTCACATTGACCAATTCGCATCTTCGTAGTTCGGTCCTGTATCACACAAGAATGATCATCAAAGAAAACATGACAGTTATGTGAGTTGACAAGGCAACTCACTGATATCAAATTACACTTCAAATTAGGAACATACAGAACATTGTGTAAAATTAAAGAAGGAGACACTTGCACCCGGCCACACGAATTTGCCACCACATGGGCCCCATCGGGCAAGCTTATAGTGCAAGGAGGCCTTTGCACTATGTCAGTCAAACACGAAAGCATCCCTGTCATATGGCATCCCTGTCATATGATGAGATGCACCACTATCCACAAGCCACTCACACGGCACAATAAGGGACATACCTTGTACCGTATCCGACGAAGAAGGTACTGAGTTAAGCATGGAGAACAAAGAACTAACCAAATAACAATAGCAGACCAAGAAAACCAATTATTGAAGTTGCTGCTGAGATCCACCAGAAAGAGCAAACAACCCAAAGAAACTTAAATCACCAAACTTTGGCCTAATTGATTATACATGACCCGCAGCAAACCATAGATTTTGCTTCTTGCTGCAAAATTAATCCAAGCAGCTGTACGAACAAAAACAATAACACACAATTGAAGGAAATACCCACAAATAGCAGCAGACCAAAAGAAGACAATTATCGCCGCAGCACACAAAACCCAGAATAATTGGACAGAACAATAGAGAGGACCAGCGTCTGCCGAAGCTTCTGCCGAAGGAACGCCTAGCGTCGCCCAGTACTCAGCGATCGCCGACGGTAAATTCGCCGGCCACACAAGATCACACACAAACACACGATCGACGGCGTGAGTCGATCGAGATCAGCACTGAAAAACTTATCTTGCCTAGGGTTTGGCTCTGATACCATGTAGAAAATTTAGCACAACTGAACTGGTTTTCCATTGATCATAAACCGATATATATACAAGTACATAAATGGGCTATAAGTACAGGCCCAATAACACAAAATCTACATCTAATTACAAATATCCGCTAACATTGTTCTTGGGTGGAATCGAGTTTTGGACTCTAAATTTTTCCCAACACAGCAAACCAAGTTCCCGTTATGGTCATTATGCGCTAAAGACTCATCTCCATAATTAGTGTCAAATAAAGACTCTTTAGACAAAGCATAATGAGATGATATATAGTCTTCACAAAGAGTTTGCATGGTTTCATGTTGTTGAACATCACGAACCGAAGGATCCGAATTAGTTTCTTCTTGGGCATTTGAGTTTAACTAAGAATGATAACCAAGTAAAATTTGTGGAACCTAAATAGGAACTGACCCTCCATTTGAAACACTCGTTTCTGCAAAATGACGTAATTCAACGCACAAAGGGAAGTAATGCAGCGACGGATATGTGCTCTTCAAACGAAGGTATGCATGAAGGCTCACATCATCGTCAATGACGACATGACTTGAGCATGAATTAGACATATACGAAATTATGAAAACAGAATTTTCATAAGAAGACGGAACCGTATTACGAATCATCTCTAGCAAGTCTTTGTATGAGGCCTAAATGGGAATGTCAATCTCATATGCATGAGTGTAAGAGAAAACACCATTAACGTCCCATTTGCCATCAAATTGCAAAAAAATGTGGATGCTCGCGGGTGTGGCTGAAAAACCGCTGCAAAATTTGATACAAAAAGAAGTAATGAAGAAAACATATTGTGAGGGGAAGGGGGGAGGTGGGAAGACTGTGAGAGACGGATGGGAGAAACGAGATGCGGCAGGGAGTACGGCTGAACGAGGGAAGAGCCGTAGAAATGGATTTAATGGTGTGCTAAAAATAGGGTAACGGTTAACTAAAATGATGGGGAGTTAATTCCTAATCATTATCACTTAGAAAAGGAGGAAAAATAGTGTGGTGTGGGTTGAGGGGAATTTTAGGATGGACATTGAAATTAAACTCCTAAAAAAAGAAAAAAAACATACAACTCCTATCTAGGGAAAACACATATGTTTAGGTCGTAAATGGAACAAATTTTACTTTAAACAATCCCTACGTGCGTTAACCCTCCCCACACCGCATCTTCTCACGTCGCTCTCTCTCGCACAACTCTCTCTCTCTCTCTGCTGACCTTAGCGCAGAATCGAGAAAAGAGAAGAAGAAGAAGAATGAAGAGGACAGCTTGTGATAGAATTTTGGATATGGTAGTGATAACTGGATTGGGCTATAAGACACTTGGGTTGAACCACATTAAAAGATTGAATCCAATCGATTAGTTAGTTCAACTCAAGAAATTATATACTGATTATTTTCCTCTTGAGCTTCCGATGTGGGATGACACTCTAACACTCCCCCTCAAGTGGACAACCGGGCCATTTTGAATCTAACCGGTTGACCACTTGCAAATAAACTCCATTCCCTTGAATTTTTTTTGAACGCCAACACCTAAAGGACCAGGAGCTGCTAGGTATGGACTTATAGATGAGCAATCTTGTTAAATGGGCCACAGGCCGTTGGGTACATACTCCATACGGACAACTAGGCTAAAAACAAACAAGTCGCTAGGAATGAGCATCTAGACGGACACCTTGACAAACGAGGTGGGCAAAAACCTTCTCTCATACCATGATAAAATTTAGGATGGGATAGAGACAACTAGATTGGGTAATAAGACACTTGGGCTGAACCAAACTAAACGATTGAATCCAATCGATTAGTTAGTTCAACTCGAGAGCTTATATATACTGATTATTTTTGCTCTTGAAATTCCGATGTGGGATGACACTCTAACAGCTTTCCCATCACCGCTCTCTCGTCATCAAACCCCGTTGGTAGTTTACTTAATCTTTGCTTCGAGGTGAGTACGTGGAACCCTAACTTTAGAGTATACAATTTGGTTTAAAAATCTACGTTCATAGCATTTTGTTGATTGAATGACATGAAACTTATATGAATTGCATATTGAGGGATTTGGGTTATTTAAGGGGATCAAAATGGTAGAAGCATGATTTTAGGCCTTAAAATGATTGTTGAATGTATTTTATGCAATATGGGAATCATTATTTAACATTAAAGTTGTTTGGAATTGGTATCGGGACTCGGAAGCAGCGTTTGTCACCGAAGAAACCACGAGTTGTTAGACGGTAGGTCGGTACAGCCTGCCGGTACTGAGCTACCGCCACAATGTCATCTGCGCTGTCGGACGCTGTTTCTGGTTCGTACACCCTACCGGACGGATGGTAGCCAACTACTGCCACAACTCATTTGTTGCTACCGGTCGTTTTTCCCTCACGGTATCCTAGTAAGTAGTAACGGGTGAAGATACCTAGATATCGCTCGCTGGTACGCAGGTTTCGTGATATGTATCGCCTGACAGTAATAGTTTGTTCCCAAAACGTTTAAACGTCGAGGATGAAGTAGGAGACTATGTGTATTGCATGATGTTAAGTTTGGGTGTCAACACCCAATACTAGGCCGCTACTTGTTATGATTGTGATTATTCTATGTTGATCCAACACGTATTAAATGTTTTACCTCCGTGCATGAACTCAACAGTAAGAGTGGGCTAATACAGCATGTTGAAGTACAGGTTATGTGGTGTTGATCCAACACTTTGAACGAGGTAAGTGTACCTAGAGGGATTTTAAGACTGACTAAGTATTAGGATAGTAGAAAGTAAGCCATGTGGAGCCTGCTGGGCCCAATGGCTAACCGGGTAAAAATGTACGTACAAGTATCTTTGAGCTGCTTGGTGATCTATCAGGTGGGGATTCCACTCACCCAATGGAGAACTCTTTCGTTGGTAGAGCATGACACGCTAACCTATTGGGAACAAGCATGACTCCAAAATCAAGTAGTAGTCCTTAGTCTAAGACAGATAGTGGAAATCAAAGAATCCAAATGTTTGATGACAATGGAAATGAGCAAGTGCCCGGTAACTTATGTGTTGAACGAATCATTGATTTGCTTGATTGTTTACTTTAGCGTTAGATATTTCTCACTCAGTGTCATTGCTGAGCGTGTGGTTTTGTTTGTTAGCTACACATAGGTAATCAAGGACATGATGAGCCTAGAGCCGATCCCAGAGGGCAATGAGAAGGAAGAGAGGTGGGTTGATTTGATTGAGGATCTGGAACTAATTACTATTTACAAATAGTTTATTATGTTATCGGGCATGAGTTCCATGTTATGTTTGTTAAAATAATACTCCCTCCGTCCAAAAAAGAACTTCCCACTTTCCTTTTTCGTCCGTCTACAAAAAAACTTCCCATTTCTATTTTAGGAAATTTTTGAGAATGAAAAGTCATTTCTACCCTTATCCTCTCCTTCCTCTCCCTTCCAACCGTTTCTTTTTTTCTTCCTTTTCTCCTTTTTCATTCTTTTTCTTATTCCTTCTTCTTCTTTCTTTCTTTCTTTCTTCCTTCTTACGTCATTTCTTCTTCTTCTTTTCTTTCTTTCTTCCTTCTTCCGTCCTTTCTTCTTCTTCTTTCTTTCTTCCTTCTTCCGTCATTTCTTCTTCTTCTTCTTCTTCTTCTTTCTTCTTCTTCTTTTCTTTCTTTCTTCCTTCTTCCGTCCTTTCTTCTTCTTCTTTCTTTGTTCCTTCTTCCGTCATTTCTTCTTCTTCTTCTTTCTTCTTCTTCTTTCTTCTTCAGTTTTTTCTATTTTTTCTTCCTTCTTTCGTCAACTAAAAGAAGTTTTTTTCCAGATCTGGTTGCATCTTTTCCAGATCTAGATTTGCAGTCACAAATTTTTTTAATTTTTTCAAGATCTGAGGTGGGATGTTGATTTTCTTCCTCAAGAAGTCTGGAAATAGATCTAGGGACTGCGTCGGAAAGGGATGCAAGTTGCGACGGCGAGAGGATGTCAAGCGCTACGATGGCGGGGCTTTCGATAGCGTCACGGCGAGAGGATGCCAGGGGCTGCGAGGGCGGGGCACTGTGATGGCAGGGCTTTCGACGGCGGGGGTTGCGGAAGCATCATCAGCGGTGGTACTGAAGCGGCGGCGACGGCAGTGCAGAAGGGTCAGCGTCGGGCCGTGGTAGATGGGGTGTACAGGGTAGAAAGGACAAGGGGTATAATGGGAAAGTCAACACAATTTTCATCACACATAAAATTGCATGCCCGGTCAAACCGGGAAGTTCTTTTTTGGACGGAGGGAGTATTAGCTTTTGCACTATTTAGATTTTACTCTGATGATACATACACTTTATTATAAGAACTGTTGGATGTTTTAGATTATTTGAAAATTTTGTGTCTTTGGATACCAAATTAGTAGCAACCCGGTTGGCTAATCTATGATTCTGGTTATGCGAGTTCGGGGGTGTGTGTGTGTGTGTGTATATATATATATATATGCAAATCTGTAAAGGTAAACATAAATTAAGCTTTAGTCGTTGTCTAAGTTTTTTAATTAAAAAACAATTTTTTATGTAAAGAAATATTTACTCTAAATAACACAACTCATTCTGGATATAGAGATAGGAAATAGTGAAATATATTCTTCGTAGTCCGTAGAATAAAGAATGATAGGAAAGAAATACTCCGTATTTTTTTGAGGTATGACAGGGAAGAAATATAATAATACTGTAATATTATTTGCCGAATAAAATCAAAATAAGACAAGATAGAAAGACATGCATACAAGACAAACACAATAACAAGAAAAAGGAAGAGTCCCATTCGTGAGGGCTCTTCTATACATAATCAAACGGGGATGGAGAGGAGATACATTAGATTTCGATCACAACGGGTGGCAAAGAATGAAGTTTAGCACCTAGTACTTGTAGTGACCCTATGCATATCATTATTGCCCTTGTTAGAAATCGAATTCGAGCCTTACCTTCTTATTGGGTTTTACGAAGTGTGTAACGTCCACCGAAGACTAACAAGAAATAATACTTAGTAGTAAAAAAAGGTAACGTACATGGGCGCAACAAGTCATTACTTATTGCTTCGTTCATCATGTCATTGGCATGCAGGCATCAATTGCAGTGACCAGGGCCGAAGCCCAGCTTCCCATTTGCGACGTCGTATACCACATCGACGGTCTGCTGGTGCAAGTATCCGTAAATGCCTATGTCTCTGGGGTCTTTGTTACGAACAAAGGCCAAGCACACCCAGGACAACATGTTGTTGGATGTAACCAGGACCCCGCTAGGCTGTCAGGTACAGTCAGATTCACGTTGTTGCTGAACTCGAACACTATGCTCGGTGCCTTGATATGAAATCACGCCGACGGAATCCCTCCAATTTATGTTGTAATTAATACTCCAATAATCTCAAAAGCTCTTTCTCCTTTCTAATTCTTATTCTACCTATCACATCATACCTTTTAACAAATAATCCACTCATCACTATTTACAAATCAAGAATATTTTTGAAAAGTCAACACAAAAATATTACTCCCTTATATTTACTAAAAGTCAAAACGAAAGCATTTTTATAGGACGGAGGAAGCATAAAACAAGAGATCGATTCTTTGAATATTTTATTATAACAAATAATTATTACAATAAATAAATAAATAAAAGTAAATACATTTTTTTTGACCAAAAAGTAAATACAATTTGATAAAGGGAATTATAAAAATAAAGTTTATTTCGAGACTTACATTGTTAGACTCTAAAATCTCTCCTACTTTTAAACCAAAATTTAGCGTATATTCGAGGGCATTTAGGTTGGATTCATGAAAAGGAGAAGTTCAGAGTTTTAGAATAAGAAAATTTTGAATGAGGTGCGTGCTCTAGTTTTCAAAATGAAAAATAAAGGTAATCGTGCATTTTGGTGTATTACTTAAAACTGTGAAGTGAGAAAATTGGATTATGAAAAGTTTAGCTCAAGCATAATAATATGGAGTACTAACTTTTAGTGGTAGTTTTTTGGAATATTTTTAGAGTAATTTACATAAATAGGACTAAAATATAATAACTTTCCCAATATAAGACCATATGTTTTTATTTCCCAATGTAGGACCTTTGGTCATTATGAAGTAGTCATTATTCAAGTAAATGTTCATCATTACTCGACATTAATCCTTCCACTAGGTCATTATTAAGTCCTATTTAGGATATACAAAAGTTGTTGGGGAAGCACGGAACAAAACACAACGGAAGCGTATAAAATCTTTTCCCCAAATCAATGAGATGAACAACAAAGCACAATATACTCCAAAAATCAGCACCACCACCACAAATAGATAGCAACGGAAATAAGATAAAGAACACACGATTTACGTGGAAACCCCAAATCGGGGAGAAAACCACGGCCGCTCAACAACGGCACCCAAACTTCCACTAATCACCAAGAACCAAGTGGGTACAACAAGTTCTCCTCTCTAGTAAACACTAGAGGCATACACAATCATCAAGGAGCAACCTTGGAACAACAACAATCAACTATTCAACATAAAATGGAGTAAAAACTCCCAAAAACGCAGGTCTGAAAATGCAGCTAGAAAACAGCCTTCCGGGAATCAAAATGAGAATCTGACCGTTGGATTTGAAGAGGAGTATGTGAGGAACAACATACTAAAATTTGAGCACGATCCGACTTTGTTTGGCCTTCGATCCGGAGGTGAAAAGTTGCTGCTGTAGAGAGTGGCGGAAATCTTCTTTTTCTTCCTCTTTCCTGCGTTTAGCTACTGCCAGCCCTCACTTCTTCCTTTTTTTTTCTCCCTTATCTTCTCTCTTTTTTCTTTAGTTAGTAGCCACACACAACACAAGAGAATGGGCCACCAAAAAAAACAATTGGGCTAAAACTTTACACACAAAAATAAGCCCAAATATAAGAGAGAGATTTAAAGTGTTGTCCAATTAAAATTGGACACTTCCTCCATGTAGGAGGGATATTTCCCAACAAATCTCCCCCTCACTCCTACATGGAG